AAATAATTTAGAAAGAGAGGCTTAAGTATTAGGTGTATAGAAAAGAGGTAATAAAAAGTGGTATATTGTGAAAAAATAAAAAAATAAAGGCCCATGGAAAGAAATAATATACTAAGGAGGGTGGCAAGCTCTAAGGTTAAATAACATCTTAAAGACAGGAAATTATGTGTAATCTGTAAAATGATTTGGTTAAAGAAAAAAATTAGGAAATTATAGCCTCTTTCAGCATGTATGGATTTACTCAAAAATACTTGTATGTATCTGGACACTAATGAATGTCAGCATATTTGAAGGATTTCCCAAAGAAAAAAATCATTTAAGATTCTGGAGGCACTGACATTCTAGAGTTAATTAGAAAAGTTAAGCATTAATTGGACCAATGGGTAGAGTGAATTAATATTGCTTTTTCTATCAATGTAATGTTAAATTAGCTAACATTTATTAACTACTACATGCTAGATACTATATTAAATGTTTTGTATTTTTGCATTACCTCATTTAATACTCATTGAGCTATGAGGAAATGGAGGTTTAGACAGTTATAAGACTTACTCAAGATCAGACAATTCCTTGTGGCAGAGCTAGAATTCAAACCCTTGTCTGTCTGACTAGGATATACAGTCCTAGCCAATCTGTAATTAATAGTTGCATACTCATGTATGTGGAGTATAGCTATCAACATAGGAAATTAATTTGAGTATTAGCATAATGGAAGTGTGTAATTCGTGATAAATACTCAGAGGTATATAAACAAATGCAGTTTACTTTATTGCAAGTGAAACTTAAAAAATTGGCTTGACTTTGGCCTACCTTGAGATCTGCTCATGGGTTCTATTACTTTTCTTCTTTGTCCTTTTTCACATTTTCCTTCCTGGATCAGTCCTGCAATTCATTCTTAGCTCTTCGTGTTTGTTCTCTTTTGAATGCTGCCTCAATATGCAAGCCTATGCACCTCTCTTGTGTAGGGTAGCATAATCCTTACCTTCCGTCATGCCCCAGTCCCACATCTTATTTTCTATTTCAGTACCTAAGAAATATTTATCCTCAGTTCCTGGCTTCATTTAATTCTGGTAGTTGGATATCCAAAATTGTAATTATTTTAAATCTGCAAAAAACATATTCAGATGGATAGGATACCAGTAAATAATGTATAGAAAAAAATACTGAGTTCAGTGATATCAAAAACATCAGTTTAATTAACTTTTTATTTTCCAAAGGATATGTACACTGACCTTAAGCAATTGACTGACTTGAGGTTTTCAACTTAACAGATTGAATTGATTAGATATTTTATGTCATAGACCAAGGAAGCTTCACAGTGTAGAGTCACCAGGTGATAATAGCACCTTCCTCAAGTTGTGTTGATCAAAAATATCTCCAGACATTGCTCAATATCCCCTGGATGGGGGCTGAGGGGTCAAAATCAGTAAAGGTATAGACTAATGTAGGGAAGAAGTATTCTACCTCCTAGGTTCTTCTGGCTGGTCTAAAAATTAAATTGACATGAGACAGTAAAACAGGAGAAAATGAAAGTTTAATAACATGTATACATGGGAGAAACCTGAGAAAACTTAGTAACTCACAAAGATGGCTGAAGCCACCACCTTAAATAACATCTTTAATTATAGACAAAGAAGGATGTTGTGGGTAGCGGTTTGGGACTTTTTTTGGGGGGTCTTTTTTTTTTTCCTCCCCAAAGCTCCCCAGTACATAGGTGTATATCCTAGTGTTAAGTCCTTCTAGTTCTTCTGTGTGGAATGCCACCACAGCATGGTTTGACGAGCTGTTTGTAGGTCTGCACCCAGGATCTGAACCAGCGAACTCCAGGCCGCCAAAGAGGAGTATGTGCACTTAACCACTATGCCACTGGGCCAGCCCCCAAGATTGGATTTAATGAAACAAAAAATGAAAGATTAGGGGTCAGCCTGGTAGTGTTGTGGTTAAGTTCACGCACTCTGCTTCAGTGGCCCAGGGTTCACTGGTTTCTTTCATGACTTTAAAAGTATTGCAGCATTTTAAAGTTTATTTTATGAAAAGCACTTTTCCCCCAGCAGACCATATCTCTGACTTTGTAATGAAAATCATTAAAATATATATTTATTTAAGCATATATATACATATATAATTTTAATTATAAAATCAATGCCCTCCTGTCTGCATTATGGTAGCAGACTTTTTGATCACTAAAACTTTAGGAAGGAAAAAAGATGGCATGAGAAAATTGCTCCTGGTTGCTATTTGTTAGGGAGGTGAACCTAACACCTGCAATTTCTTTCTTAGGACAGCTCAAGGCTTGTTATTAACACTAACTACTTTTTTAAAACACTCTTTCTCTTTTTGTAAGGCAATTTAAGTTCAGTGAGAGAAGAGCCATACATATAAATTTATTAGCATAATTTGGCAATGTTTTCAGCTTGCATTTCAATAATTGCTGTTCTTAGAACAGTGCTTTTGAAATGTTTGTTCTGAAAACCAGTTTTCATATTTTGGACAGATAAAAATGCCATTTATTTGTTCTCCATTCGGCATTACCAATTAGCAACATAGCCACAGGTTTTAGAATCATTTGGCATGTAAAGTAGAGAAAGGTAGCTAGAATTATCCTTAAGATGAAGTCTTACTGAGAAAGGGAAGCTGCATTTGGAAATACACTTGATTGTACAGATCTAAGATAGTATTGGCTGATTGTTGAGTATTAATGTCATGTGGATCATTGTTGTTTCACCAGTTTTATAGACAGAATCATTATCTTCTGTCACCAATCTCAAAATCTCAGTTAAAACTTGCTTCAGAGAGTATGAGCAGGAAGGAAGTTACATGTAAACTAGATAGAATTTATTTAAACTAAATTATTTACTTGTTCTGCCCAAGTAAGAAAGCTGCATAAAGGTTAATCTAGGGGCTTTGTTTTGAACTGGGACTATGGTAAGTAGCTTGAAAATGAAGATTCTTGATATAACAAATCCTTTATAGGTTTGAGCTTTTTATTGTTCTGAATGGGAAAATATGATTTGAGCACAAGTTTCCACATTTCAATAAAGGTAAAAATTTCTTTCTCAAGTTTTATCAATTAGAAGAAAAAGTGCATAAAACAAAGTATTATATTCTAGAAAATAATCAATTATTTGTAACTTTAAGGTTGAATAAGATAACAATAGTGGAAATTTAAACGGCAAAATATAGTATCTTAGTGTTAATGTATTGAAGTTGTGTTTTCACTAAATTGGATCAAATGCAAAATAGCTTTATTTCTCTCTATGATCTTAAATAATTCTTTCAGTTGTTTTGAAATTATATGGGCAATCATAATGCAGATGAGTTCTACAGAAATTTCCACCATTAGAGACCAGAAAGTTTTTCATTAGTGTTACTTACATTTTAAAGATAACTGCAATCAGAGTCATAAGTAAAAATGTGAGCTTTTCTAAACAGAACAAAACTTACTAATGTTTGAGTATTTATTGCCTTTCCCTTTCCCAAAGTCATAAAAGGATTCCACTTGGTCTCTTGCCCTTCCCTGACTTTTGAAAAGCTTTAGGCCAGAAGCAATTTAGGGATTCTGTGAGGCCAGGGGAGGAGGAGAGAAAAAGGTGCAGTAATAATTTTTCTGGGAGTTTTATGGAGGGGAATCTGGAGAAACTGGAGTGTGAGGGCAGTACATAGGGGAAGAAAGAAGAATTTTTAAAAGTATTGTTCAAGAAATGACAATAAAGAACTTAAGTTATTTTGAGATTAGTTTTCGATTGTCCTTGAGTTCCTCTGGCCACAACACACTTGAGATGAGATAACATGGGTCAAAGATTTAATAAGACTGGGAATTGTCAAAAGTGTTATATCAGTAATTGAGATGAGAGCATGGGGGTGGAGAACACAATCCAACTGGAAGTGAAAAGTATTGTCACAAGGTAACATTCATTGTTGTTTTGAATTTTTGTTGATCAAGATTTGCTGTTTCATTCTGTTAAGGAACAGGTTATGTAGCTGATTTATGACCTACCACTTTTTATCATATGAATAACAATTATATATAGATATTTTTTCTTCTGTGGCATTGAATTTTTTGTTGGTTTGGAGGAAGGGAACATGGGAAGAATTGGAGTAAAATTTGATCCAGTATATCTTTCCTATATATGAAACAAATTTGGCAAGTCTGTATTTTCTCTTTTTGTCCTGTCAACTATCATATTCTGTTCTAAACTGTTAGCAAAAGTGATAGCATTTTCTCTAAGTGGAAATGTAGACCACAATCTTCAAAGTAATCAGATGTCAGATCGCTTCTTAAGATTTTAATGAAATTAATCAACAAGGCAGTTGTTTTTTCTCTTTTAGCCTTATCAATTGTTTTAGCAGTCAAAATTAAATTTATTAAGATATGACAGGTAAAAAGGTTCCTAGAGTAATTGTTGCCATAGTAACTTGTAAGAGAATGGTCTTCAATATTATTTGTATATGTGCTATAACCATTACATGCTATTTCTATATATAAATTTCCAAAAGAGAAAAGGAGGAGCAATTTTTATAGATTATCACTGATACTTCATAGATTTTTTTTAAAAAAAATGTTTCCTTTGACCAGACTCTTTCATTGTTAACATTTCTGACATTATCTAGCTTAAAACACCTGCTATTACTTTAGAGCAGAATTGATCGGTCATGTAGGAAAAAAGGTCTCATGGGGCTTTTGAGATGGAACCTACAATGTAAGGCTAGTCTTTCATACATTAGAAAGATGAATCATTAGTGTTTTTGTTTTCATTCTGTGAAAGCAGAAATTGGAAAAGTAAATTGAAAATGTAGAGGTGGTAAGGCTTTTTATTGGTAATATGACCTTGTAAATGTCATTTACTATCATTAACACTCAAATTACTTCACAAACAAATGAAATGTCATATTTAGTAATTAGATAGTTGAGTTCAGAAATATGTACACAGCTAATGGCCTTGCAAACTGGAAAAATCCATTAGTTGTAAACTAACTATCTGGGCATTGTTTTCTTGCAGGGAACAAATCACAAGACAGTGGCATAGCAGAGATGGAAGAACTTCCTGTACCACATAACATAAAAATAAGCAACATTACATGTGACTCATTCAAGATTTCATGGGAAATGGATTCAAAATCAAAGGACCGTATTACACACTATTTCATTGACCTCAACAAGAAAGAGAACAAGAACTCCAATAAATTTAAACATAAGGTAAAATCCTAACATATAATACTTATTTGCATCTTAAAAAATTTCTAAGTATGAGGACATTTTGAAAGAATAAGGTTCTATTAATTACTTAGATAATGTATTTAACACTGGGAAAAATAAAAATTATATGTCATTTAAAAACCCTATCCCTCTAAGAAATTTTGTAAGAACATGAAATGCCAAGTATATTGTTACAATACAGTTTCTCCCAAAAAAAGATAAAATCATGACTGTCCTACAGACATAAAAATGAACGTGTTAAAGATTTTCTTTAACTCATTAATGAGGTAACTGATGAGGTAATACAACCAGAGTATATTGTTTAAATACAATTTCTCCAAAAGAAAGTAAAATCATGATTCTCAGACAGACATAAAAATGAATATGTGTTAAAGATTTTCTTTAACTCATTAATGAAGTAACTGGTGAAGTATTACAACCAGTTCAAAGGAGAATCCAAAGAAAAGACACAGTTATAGATCAGGATATTTAAATAAATGTATAAGTGGAGGCAAAACTGGTTTGGGGTGGGGGAGGGAGCGAGGACAGAAGGGGAGGGTTGTCTCTCCACTGGACAAAATTTATTTGCATGTATTTAGACAAGAGTTACTGAATCATTATCAGGTATCTACAAATTACAGAGTTGTAAAATAGCTTCCACAGAATCAAAAGAAGATAGCCAGAAGACTGTGCTGTAGGCAATGCATAGCTTTCCATTGAAGCACACATTTTCCCTGTAATAACTGCCAAAAGAGGAATGTGATACAGTTTATAAACTTTAGGGTATTTGTTAAAATACTTAAGGGCTGAAGATTACTTTATGTCATCAATTTTATTTTATGGTTTGAGAATGAAAAACAATGTTTAGATGTTTTAGACATGTAACACTTCTCTGATACTTATTCTCATACCTGTCTACTTATCACATATCTTTTCTAATACATATCTCCCTTCAAAAGTAGCTATAGAGAGGATAATAGTTATCTGGTTTAAGTATTCTTATGTTTCAGTATTTTCACTGTGATGAAAGTCAGTCTTGTTTTTTATATTGATACTAAATTTTAACTTGGAAAATCTTTTGGAAGAACTGTCTTATCTTTTCTGAAAATTATGTGTTTACTAAATGTGCAATTATACATACTAGCAATAAGTGAAGATTATACATACAGACAAGTGTGAGAGAGTGAACAAGATTGATGTCATTATTTTTCCCATGTTCCAATTTTGATTAGACTTTCTGGTGATGGATAATCTCTTTTCTGACGTTTGCTTTCTTAAAGTAGCTTTGCAATATTAAACATTACATGATGAATAGGCCAAGACTTGACCCCCTTTCTTCATTTCACATCTAGAATACCTTATCTTTGGAAATGTAGTGAATAGTCAACTAGCATGTTTAATTACCTTATTAGTCCTTGTTTAGAAATACCTAAACATTTCTGTGACATATGGGCTCCATACTTGAATACAAGTGAAGCAAATGTTACCTCATTTGTATATAAAACAGATTCATTTATTTTAAAAATGTTCTCTCCCTTCACCTACAAAATATTTAGTAATAAACTACTCCAGTGAAATTATTGAGTAGTAAAAATTAAGCAAATATAATATTTTTAAATACTAAGTCTATTGATTTTCTTTCATGTTTCTGGTTTGTTTTATCATTTAGTACTAGAATGTTTCATTTTAGGGAACACATATAGGGAGTGTACAGAGAAGAACATTATACTAGAATAGAAGAAAACTGGAGTCCAAGTACATTTATGTCATTAACTAGCTGTATGACCTTGAGCCTATCTCTTGATCAAGTTCAGCCTTAGTTTTTACATCTGAAAAATAAGAGATTTGAATATAGTAATTGTTAAATATCTTTAAACAGGAAAATTCTGTCATCAGCCAAAAATTTAATAAGTTCTTCCATGTTGTTTACTATTGATTCAAGTTATACTGCTAAATTAATTTATTTCTTTCATTCCTTTCTTAGGATGTTCCAACAAAATTGGTTGCAAAAGCTGTTCCCTTGCCGATGACTGTCCGTGGACACTGGTTTTTGAGCCCAAGAACTGAGTACACAGTAGCAGTGCAGACTGCCTCAAAACAAGTTGATGGGGATTACGTTGTTTCTGAATGGAGTGAAATTATAGAATTCTGCACAGCAGGTAAGAGAACTAGATGCAAATGCAGAGAAAATCTTATTTAATAGTCCTGGAGAGCTAATTACAGAAATATTTCTTTTTTATAATTATAAGGTGATATCTATTGCATTGGTCATTTTTGCATTGCCAGTAACAGAACAAACTATGTTGTATTGATTGGAGAAAGCTGAAGTTCTCAGTGAAAGCTGGGTACTGGCATTAAATTACTTTTTTGCTGCATGGATAGTTTGATTTTTTGAAGTAAAAGCTTTGCAAATAAAAATTGATGTAGTTTGAAAATGTACTCAGCATATTTTGAGCTTCATTTTGAGAGAGAGCTTTTTTCCCTTCCTCTTTTTTTCTTTTTCATTTTTCATTTTCATGAGTACTGGAAGAAAGGAGCCAGGAACATCCTTCTCTAATTTAGGGGAATGGAGGCAGATCTCAATGACTGTACCTAGCAGGAATGTTATTGGATTTTTCACTTGAGTGCTGAAAATCTCTGAACTAGTGTCCTGAGCATGTGTGTGTAAATCTTTGCTTCATTATAAAGTACCTCATAGTCATTTGGCATTGGAATATCTGATGTGGATAGCCCATCCCCTTTGATCTTGAACTATACCATAATATTCCATTACATTAGAAATGTTATCATTCACCTTATTCATTTATTTATTTGTGTACTCATTCAATAAAGAAACAAATATTTATTGAGCACTTAAATAGGTGTTGAAGAGATGTAAAGATGTCTCTACTTTAATGCATCTGTCATCCTCTCCTTTTGTCTCTTAGAATGGGGCTTTGTTTCCTCTTTGTCTAGGTGATTGCTTCCTCTGAAATATTGTAGAGAGAGGTTGAGTGTTTGTTTCAACATAAAGGAGCATGTAGAAAAAGTCTTATAAACAGTTCACCTCACCTATTGCAGGTTGCTTAGCAACTTTCCCCAGCTGAGGCATCTTTCAGATAAATCAGCCTTTTTTTCCCATAGTCTCATGCTTGCATTGTTTTAGACTCAGTATGTGCTTAGCTATTGCTTTCTCTCATTATCTTCTTTTGTTTCTTAATCTCAAACTCAGTATAAAACTTCTCCTGTGGATATGTTGAATGGATGAAATTTTAGTTCTATGTTATTTTGATTATCTTCAACCCTTTTTGTTTATTCTATGAGGAAGTTGCTAAGGATTACATGCTTGATTGCTAAGGATTTGAGTGTTTGAGAGCAAGGAAGATACTGGTACCATATTTCTTCCTCTCTAAGATGTCCTTGACTATAAGATCCACTGTTTTATGTATCACTAAGAGAAATTACTGCCAATTAAACTATGAAACAGTGTTTTCTTATCACATTTATTGTCTCATATCAGAGATGCTAAAACATGAAAAAAATACATTTTAGAATAGATGAAATATGGTATTAATCATAGTCTAGCAATCAGTAATGAAATAGCTGAAGATTTCCATATTGTATTAATAGTGAATAAAGAATTCTCATTGAGGTAACTTTTACTATATTTGTGTCATATTGGAATTAATATATCCCCTCAATTTTTTCTAAATTAAAATTCCTTTTGGAAATCTAGCTCGTGTTTACTCTTTTCACTGCATTTCTTTCCATTTACATTCCTTGCACCCTACCAGGGAGGTTTAATCTGAGGAAGAAACAGTAAGAGAAACGGTCTCTTTTGACATCGTTTTAATATCTACATGCTGTTTTCCATAGGACTGTATCAAACAATATCATAGTATTTGTCCATTAAAAAGAGCTATAATTTACTTGCTAAAACCCCATTTGACATTAGGGAAAGGTGTGAAAATATTTCTTTTTTTAGCTTGAGGAAGACTGTTGGCATTTCCAGTTCAGAAATATCTGTCTATCTGTCTGTCTATAAATAAATAGATCCACATATACATACACTCTGTTTTATAATCTAACTACATGAGTACATGTTTTATTTCTTTGTATATGAAGGAGAACTTTATGTCTTCTTTCATTTAGAGCGATCTCCGTTACTTTATTTATTTATTTTTTTCTTCCGAGGAAGATTAGCCCTCAGCTAACATGTGCCAATCCTCCTCTTTATTCTGAGGAAGCCTGGCCCTGAGCTAACATCCGTGCCCATCTTCCTCTACTTTATATGTGGGACGCCTACCACAGCATGGCTTGCCACGTGGTGCCATGTCCGCACCCGGGATCCGACCCGGTGAACCCCGGGCCGCCAAAGCAGAACATGCACCCTTAACCGCTGCACCACCGGGCCAGCCCCTCCCTGTTACTCTTTTATTTAACTACATCCCATAATTCTTCTAAGGAAGTTATGGGATAAATAATGAGAATACCAGCTTTTAAGTGTGCCACAGTATGTTTCTATAAATTATTTTGCAGTTTTATTTCCATGACTAAAATTTAAGGGGAACTTAAGCTGTTCAAAGTTTGTTGTTTCAGTTTATCAAAATAATTCAGACTGTTTCACCAAAACTTCATCAATAACCTTGATTCTTCTGAGAAATCTTGAGATAGTTATTTCGTATAAATTGTCTTTTAATCTGCACATCTGATTCACTCAGCATTTCTTGAGCACATAGTTTGTGCTATGCACTGGGCAAAGAACTGGAAATAAAATAGAATAATAGAATGCCACTAACTAGCCTACCTCTATTCTAGTCTATGACAGAGATAAAACCCTGTGCTTAACCCATAATAAGTCATAGTTGTCTGTATATTTATCTCTTCTCTCAAACCGAGTTCTTTGAAAAGAAGATTTTTTTTATCTTTTAACCTGATCATCTAATTTTGCATGGTGCCTTGTATATTTTATGTTCTAATCTAAATAAATGTTTGTTAAGCCAGTGGAACAGTAAAGTTGTGCTGCTATGAGCAGTTCAACTAGGTTGCTTTTGTTTGGAAAGTTGTATAATCTTTATAGGCCAGAATTTTTGCTTAGATTCTGGTACTGGAGTTTGACAACAAGCTTGAGTTTTTAAAACAAAAAGTTGGTAAAAAGATCAGACTACTTTGAGAGATGCTTTAGATTTTCAAGGGTCTTGTGTACCTGGAAACCATCAACTAAGAGCCAGAGACCTAGTCTCCAAATTACTAGCTATATGAACATATGGCAAATCATTGTGACAAGCCTCAATTTCTGCATCAATAAAATGATCATATTTAATCTACCTTGCCAACCTCATAGACTTAGGGAGTAAATTAAATGAACATTATTATTGCTACTCCTCTAAATTCTATTTGCTATTGATTATAGATTATAAGCTTTTTTTATCCAATTTATCAGCTGATTGAAGAAAAGCTAGTATGGCTGATTGACATTACTTGGGTCATGCAGAGTCTGTATTCCTTATTGAACATTTTTGTTTTAGGATCTTTAATTTCAAAGAGTGAAAAAAATGAAAGAGTATTCTAAAAAACAACCATAAACCGTAACAAAAATGTTTGTGTAGAAAGAAAAATATGCCACACAAAGACAATGAATGTTTTCTTTTTTAAATGCAATTTCCTATTCATTAAGATGAATTTACTAAAGGTGAATCTTAATAATCTCCAATTTATTAAGCACGTAGTTAGTACTTTTGGTGATATATTTTTAATAACAGACTTGTCTTTTTGTTATTTTCAGACTATTCAAAAGTTCATCTAACACAACTGTTGGAGAAGGCCGAAGTGATTGCAGGACGGATGCTTAAATTTTCTGTTTTTTATCGTAACCAGCACAAGGAATACTTTGACTATATTCGGTAAGAATCAAAAAAATATATACTAATTTGCTTTACTAAAAGCCATTCCAAATTCTAGGCTCAGGTTTCCCTTGAGTCTAGTTCTGTGAATAGCATTAGTTTTCTTTTCAAAATAATTAATTATACTCTAATTTTTTATTTCCCAGAATAATTAAGTAGAAAAAGTCAGATGTCGGATTTTTTGCCACTTTGCCTAGATTCTTTTCCATAATCATTTGTATTACCAATTCCTGTCCATTGAGTGAAAGATCTTAAACCTCCAGGGTTTAGATTGATAAAGATTTCATGTACATACTCCTCTAATTCCCAATAACTCAATGCCTTCGGTCTTATACCAACTACTAAATTTTCTCCTCTTCTTGTGGGTCTCTTTAAGATGCTGAAAATGAGAGAATAAAAGGGTGACTGTTTCATGAAATATTGTGGTGAATCAGGTGGGATTTTCAGGCTTCTGCCTAAGTGAAAATCTCTAAGCCATTATCTTGGATTAATTATTCATAAGGATGGTCTCCATTGTTTACTTTTGAATTCTAGTGTTCAACTAGTATTTCTAGGATAGCCTATGTTTATCCCTGGAAGCAGTTTCTAAGAATTCAAAAGAAGTCCATGCCACAGGTAGTTTTAACACTTCTAGCCCTTTCATGTTTGCAGAAGAATATTTCAGGAAAGTAAATAGGCAGATACGTGTTTTAAAGTGAAACTAACACTTTTAAAATGATAAATGCTATATAGGTTCTACAACTTTTATACAGTAATCCCTATAATTTCTCATTTTAAAAGCCTTGGTCTCACTTTAAACTCTAAAGGATTCTTAAGTTGACAGGATTGTATATGAAAAAAATTTAGGAAGCTTTGTTGGTTTTTTTTGTTTATTTCATATCACCCTAATTTTTCTTAAGTCAAGATCATGGTCCAGATTTGAATCAGCTCCAAGCTATGGAAAATTCAAAGGGCATCATAGGGACATGAATTTAGGAATCTGTGTTCTCAAATAAAGTACTTTGCAATATCATGTATTTTTATGTATTTTGATGGCAGAAAAACACTCCTGCGTTATGTTTTAGCCTATGAATACAGAGTTTAGTCTATAATTCTCTTACCTGTCATTTACCCTTGAGTCTATATAATTCATGGTGGATGCCATTTACCTAATTTAGAGAGTACAGACTGAGAGATACAACACAAATTATTGTACCTGTCAATTGTTGAATGGGAATGACGATATACACTCAACAAGAAAGGTATTTGTTTATATTTGTTAAGCATAAAATTTGAAAAGAATAAAAGATCCGCTTTGCTATTTTCATTAATAAGAAATACATCAATAGAATAAATAAATACATCTTTGGTACTAGGTTTAGATGTCTGGACTATTGCCAGTGTCTATTGTAGGTGGCCACTGGAGGTCAGTATTTCTCTAATTTTTCTCCATCCTTTGGATGGGAACTGGCCTTCTGTTTTTCTGGTCCTTAGATACTCTAAAATTTGCTTCATCTGTTTTCAAAAGTTCTTCCAAGAAGAAAAAAGGTAAATACAGAGAGCATGTAAAATGAAAGAAGTTATTGTATATAGTGTATGGTTGATTTCAATATACTAGTTTGAAAGATATATCTACTATGAAGGAAATTTACCTTTGTTGGATTTTCCATAATAGTTGTAAAATCCATGTAAATTATATCTTGATGCAGTATATATAAATAAATACACTTGCCAACGCATGGGTACAATATTTCAACATTGCTTTTTAAAAAGCCCTTATTAGAAAATTGTAGGGGGCCGGCCCTGTGGCTGGGTGGTTAAGTTCACACACTCCACTTTAGCGGCCCAGGGTTCACTAGTTTGGATCCTGGGTGCAGACCTACACACCACTCATCAAGCCATGGTGTGACAGCATCTCACATAGAAGAACTAGAATGACCTACAACTAGGATATACAACTATGTACTGGGGGGGGGGGGGGGGTGTTGGGGAAAAAAACAAAAAAGAGGAAGATTGGCAACAGATGTTAGCTCAGGGCCAATCTTCCTCACCAAAAAAGAGCATACCTTTAAAAAAAGAAAAAGAAAGGAACCTTTCACTTACCTGACAAACTCCAAATCATTATAAATTATGAAAAAGCCATAGATAAATTCTGACTCAGTCCACATAGAATGAACTCATTTTGATCTCTTCCTCTAGAAATGAATTCCTAAATGAATATTGCTTTCCCTTACCCCAGATCAAAATATCACTTTCTCTCTTACTCCTTCAAGTTCACTAAGCAGACGAATTGTCCTTAAAACACCTTTCTATTTCTGAAAGTTTTCTCTTCAGGAATCCACTGAGACTGATATGTGTAGGAATTCCTGTACTTTTTGGTGCTAGATTGTATATCCTCAAAGTTGATGCCTGTCACTGATATTAGGACATTTCTTCTAGCCTAAGTTCCTGTTTATATCTTTTCTGCTGTTATTATTTCATATAATTTCACTTGATTCAAGTAGGACACATATACTGATATTTGGTTTTTGTTAATGAGAATGTAACAAGGATAAGAATTTTTGATCCAGGACAAGATAGAGTAGATACACTTCTCTCTTTTCCTCCCACTAAGTACAACTAAAAACCCTGGACATATATATCAAAGAAACATAAAACTCTGAAAGGTGGAGACAAGGTAAACTGGTTAGGGATTTCACGGCTCAAAGAACAATACAATAATGAGTTTCCTGGGTTTTCTTTTTAGCTCTTATATTCTGGACTAGGTGCTAGAGAAGCCAGCAACCCAGAAATGCCAATGGGCACAGACAAAAAAATCACCCTAGAAAGTCTGCTCTGTGTACCCAAATGACCAACAAAGGGACAGCCTTGAAGACAGAAATCTTTTAGACGATAACTTTCCTACTCCGGCCAAACACCATGGAAAAAAAACCTATTCCCACCATCACCAGCCAAGGCCAAATAGGGAACCTAAACATCCACCCTCTCCCACATGTAAGGAAGCACCCTCCCCTCCTCCTCCGTCTCCTGCTGGAGGTGGTGTCAGAGAAGACTGAGTGGGGAGACTGGACTTATACCCCTCACCAGTGGCAATGAGATCTCTGTCACCCTCCCCACTGTGGTATCACAGGAGGCCTAGTGGAAATCAGGACTTTTCACCACAGCCGAGGGATGATAAAGCTTGCCCTGCAGTGTCAGTAAAGGCCACATAGGGAGCAATAATGAGACACTCTTCCCTCTCCCAGCTAGACTGTGTTAGCAGAACCCTAGTGGGAGCCTAAACTCTTACCTCTGCCCATTAGTCCCTCCCCCGTCCTCCTCCCCTGCCCCATGTCATTGAGACTGACTGGGGAACCTGAATGTTTATCGCCTGACAGCAATAAAGTAACACCCCGCCACAGTTCTCCCATTGGCACATAGTCAGAAGAAGCCTACTAAAATACTAGATTTAAATAAGATCCAGTCTCAAAATACCCAAAATGTCCAGGATATGATTGAAATATACTCATCACACCAAGAACCAGGAAAATCTTAACTTGAATCAGAAAAGATGATCAACAGATACCAATACCAAGATGATACAGATCTTGGAATTATCTGACAAGGATTTGCAAACAGCCACCGTAAAAATTTTTCAACAAGCAATCACAAACACACTTGAAACAAATGAAAATAGAAGTAGCAAAGAAATAGAAGATATAAAAAACTAAATGGAAATTTTAGGACTGAAAAACACTGTAGGAGAAGTAAAAAAACTCAATGGATACACTGAAAACAAAATCAAGAGGATAAAGGAAAGAATGAGTAAACCTGAACCAGAACAGAACAACAGAACAGTAGAAATAGAAACAGAAGAATCAAAACAATAGAAATTACCCAAACTGAATAACAGAGAGAAAATTGACTAAAAAAAAAATGAGCAGAGCCTCATGGACATATGGGACTATGGCAGATCAAATATCACATATTGGTGTCATCAGAGTCAAAAAGGAAAGTAAGAAGAGGGTGGGGCTGAAAAACTATTCAAAGAAATAATAGCTGAAATGTTCCAAAATTTTGCAAATGACATAAACCTAAAGATTCAAGAAGCTAATAAGTAAACCCTAAACAGGATAAACCCAATGAAATCCATGCCAAGACACTTCATAAACTCCTGAAAACTGAAGATAAAGAAAAAAATCCTGAAAGTGGTCAGAGAGAAGATACCTTATCTATAGGGAAAACAATTTGAATGACATCATCAGAAACTGCATTGGCCAGAAAGAAGTGGCACAATATTTTCAAGTTCTGAAAGAGAACAGTCAACCCAGAATCCTATATTCAGTGAAAATATCCTTCAGGAATAAAGGGGAAATCAAGACATTCTCAGAAGAAGGAAAACTAGGAGAATTTGTCACCAGCATACCTACCCTAAAAGAATGACTAAAAGAAGTTCTTGAAACAGGAAGGAAATGATAAAAGAAGGAATTTTGGAATATCAGGAAGGAAGAAAGAACAACAGGAAGAGTAAAAATATGGGGTCCAATCCAGGATATTATAGTACATTTATTTGTCATGTCTCCTTAGTCTTCTCTAATCTCTGACAGTTTCTTGGTCTTCCCTTGAATCTGCATTTTTAATAAGCTCCCTAGGTAGTTTTCAGGCACTAGAATTTGAGACTTATTGCTGTTCTAAAGTCACGGGCAGACCTTGAGCACACCTCAATGACCCACACTCTTTAAGGAGCATGTTGACTGGGAGAACCTTCTCTTGCCTGAGTGGTAGCTTGTAATTTTCATCCCAAATCATGCTGGTCAAAGACCCAGTCAAGGAAGAGAAGGCACACTCATGGAATTCTGGAGAAAATTTAACAAAAGCACCATTCACAGATGTATGGGGAGAGTTAAGGCAATTAATAAGGGATGCTAAAGAAGCCAGATACTATAGAGTTGAAAGGTTTTACCATTCTTGGGAAGAGAAGAGGAGTAGAGGTGCCCAGCAGGAGAAGTAGTCAGAGATATGTAGTTATAGACAAATCCAGCCCTGCCAGAACCACAAGGCTCTGAAGCATGGAGGTGGTAGAGGAAGACACACTCAAGGCTTTACCTTCTTCTCCCCGACATCTGCTGGTGCCTCTTATTGGTAGAACTGGAAGGGAAGGGACCAAGGGGCAAGGAAGAACTGGATGATAGAGTCAGTCCACAGTGGAAGGTGAGAAGGGTAGAAAACAGATCTGGGGACAGGGTAAAGGGAGAATAACCAGTTCTTTTCTAAGCAAAATGCAAGAGAGAGGGGGTCAGCCCGGTGGTGTAGTGGTTAAGTTTGCGTGCTCTGCTTTGGCAGCCCGGGGTTTGCAGGTTTGGATCCCAGGCACGGACCTAGCATTGCTCATCAAGCCACACTGTGGTGACATCCCACATAAAATACAGGAAGATTGGCACAGATGTTAGCTCAGCAACCATCTTCCTCAAGCAAAAAGAGGAAGATTGGCAACAGATGTTAGCTCAGGGCCAATCTTCCTCACAAAAAAGGAAAAAATGCAGGAGAGAGGACCTGATTAGTAAACTGTGCCTGGGTCAAAAACAAAATAAACCCACAATAAAACAAAATACTTTGTGCCAATATATGTGGACAGCACTCATTTTAGGACTAAATTCTGGCATATTTTAAAGAAACATTCAACATATTTAACTAACCAGTACTGTTAGTCCAGTTTTCTCTTCAAAAAGCCACTTCTGAAATGCAGTAGGCATATAATGGATGTGATTTCAGATGTAAGAGTTCTAATTCCAGTTTGGTTTTTCTGGCCAGGAAATTTATTATGTTAAAGACTTCCAAGGTTTGTAGCTTACCTTACTTAGAGTCAAGGCTGGAATTTAACCATCTATTTGTTATTGTTAGTGCCATCTAGTCGATTCCAACTCCTTGCAACCCTGTGTACAGCTGAGCAGAACCCTGCCCGGTCTTTTTGTGTCATCCTCTCACCTTCTGGCACTATATCAAACAATGCTCCACTGCCATTCGTAGGGTTTTCATGGCCAATTTTTTCAGAAATGGTGGCCATTTCCTTCTTCCTAGTCTGTCTTAGTATGGAAGCTCCACTGAAACCTGTCTACCCTGGGGGAACCTGCTGGTATTAGAAATACCAGTGGCATAGCTTTCAGCATCACAGCAACACACAGCCACCACAGTATGACAGTCAATAGGTAGTGTGGTTCCCTGACCAGAAATGAACCCAGGCCACAATGATAAACACCAAATTTTAACCACTAGACCACCAGGGCTAGTTTTAGGCATCTATAGGTAATGTCAAAAGATGCATTCTCAGGGCCAGCCCCATGGCAGAGTGGTTAAGTTCATGCACTCCTCTTTGGTGGCCCAGGATTAGCCGGTTCAGATCCTTGGTGTGGAGCTGCACACTGCTCGTTAGGCCATGTTCTGGCAGCATCCCACATAGAAGAGCTAGAACGACCTACAACTAGGGTGTACAACTATGTACTGGGGCACTGGGGAGAAAAAAAGAGGAAGATTGGCAATAGATGTTAGCTCAGAGCCAAACTTACTCACCCCAAAAAAAAGCATACCTTAAAAAAAGATGCCTTCTCCTTGGTCTGATAGTAGGATGAGAATTCAGGCTTTTAATAGTAGACAGCTGACTTTTAGGCCTATCACCATTCAAATCTATAAATCAGTAACTTTTCCAGTATTGTACCAAGCACTGACCATTTCTTTTCTCTTGCAGAGAACATCATGGAAATGCTATGCAGCCCTCTGTCAAGGATAACAGTGGTAGCCATGGCTCTCCTATCAGTGGAAAATTAGAAGGCATCTTCTTCAGCTGCAGCACGGAATTCAACACTGGGAAGCCACCCCAGGATTCACCTTATGGAAGATACAGGTTTGAGATTGCAGCAGAAAAACTTTTTAACCCCAACACTAACTTATACTTTGGGGACTTCTACTGTATGTACACTGCTTATCATTATGTGATTCTTGTTATTGCCCCTGTGGGATCACCAGGAGATGAATTTTGTAAGCAGCGCCTTCCTCAACTAAATTCCAAGGATAATAAATTTTTGACCTGCACAGAAGAAGATGGGGTGCTGGTTTACCACCATGCCCAGGATGTCATTTTAGAAGTCATCTACACTGACCCTGTGGATCTTTCTCTGGGCACCGTGGCAGAGATCACTGGTCATCAGCTCATGAGTTTGTCTACTGCAAATGCAAAAAAAGATCCCAGCTGCAAAACCTGTAATATCAGTGTTGGACGTTAATGCTCGCTTTTCTTATTCTTACTCAGTCCCTTTTCTTCCCTTAGGAGCATTGATCCTCTGTTGTCCATTTTCATCACCAGATGTTTTCCACTGAAGCATGCACATGCCGCTATCACCAAAAGCAAACTGCCACTTTTCAAATTTCATTCAGAGCCGTTTTAGTGTTTCCTATTCCCTACCCTTCCCACTGCTTTCAATGATGAAATATCCTAAGTTCTCCTTCTGACACTTTATTGCCTAGATGCTGCAATGTTTTTATTTTTCCTTTATGCCAAACATAACAAAACAATTATATAAACTGCTTTAGCAAAATACAAAATAACGGCTTATAAATGGTGTTTAAATATGCATTCATTTTAATCTACTGAACAAATATTGGGATAACTCCAAATCGCATGAAAGGGTGTAATTGCAGCATGAGTTAAATCCTGAAGCCTAGAATTGTCAGCACTTCCAACTTGTTGTTTGACAGTGTTATTTATGTTATTTATATTAGCTAACAGGAAACAACTACTGTGTTTCAACATAATAAATATAATAGAAAAATATTTTATTTGTATTGTTGTATAAAATATTTACAATCATATAGAATATATAGAGTTACATTTAATAGCAATTGTATACGTGTCACGAAACCATTTTCCTTATCAAAGATGTAGTTTGTAAACTTCAAATAGTTGTGTATCTGTCCTGTTACAAGTAGATGACTTTAATTAAACAAATTTATGAAGGACATTATTCTGATTCATAAAAGTTATAAAATATCAGATAAATACAGAGAAAACAATAAGCCTCTGAAATAGTCTACTTCTGAAACAGTCAGTATTTTTCCCATCCAAACTATATGAAAATGTGAATTTGTTCAGTATCATGCTTAAACATTACAGAAAATAGAAATACAAACATGGTTGGTACAAGAGAGAAAATGTTGACCTTTCACTTATTTTTACAAAAGCAAAAATAATAAACACGTTTTAGTACAAAATAACAAAAAATATACACTAAAGTTGAGGAAGCAAATAAAATATTTTGGCTTCTACTCCAAGGTGTCATAGCACACAATTTCCAAATCTTTCATTTTGTACAGAATGAAGAATAAGTGCAACTCACGAGAAAGCTTTTTGACTTTACAAAGTACAGACCTTGGAACATTAAGGAAAATGCATATTCCCAATGGAAAAATAGTTATATAATCTTATAGTAAACAAAAAGATTAGCAATTATAACTATGATCACATTAGATTATATACTACAGACACATATCTATCCAAAATACCTATTTTCAAATTTTAATATTTTATTTTAATATAAACATCTGTCAATTATAGACAAAGATAATTCACAAACTACATGCTATCAGAATGAACTTTGGTAATCAGAAATGTAAAATTTCAAATAACAGATAAAATAATGTGCTATTTTTATATAGAAATAAAAAATTAGCAGTGACACATTCTAGTATATTTTAGGGTACTAAAAGCCTAGCAGACTTAAGGGACAAGGTAGTAGTTTTCGTTACGACTTAAAAATCTATTAGAAGTTTCAAATAAATTACATTCTTAGTAGCTGTATTCCTTCTCCCATAAGAAGAGTTTCTTTTCCTCCTCCTACTGAGTTTTTTAAAAAAATCATGCTCTTTTCCATATATCAATATAAGCAATCTTTGGACACTAAATAGACTTTCCCTGAAAAGTGGCCCATTGAACAAGTGGATGCTCTATGTTATTTAGATTTGATAAAATACTAGATGTTTTCTGAAATAATTATACTGATTGTGAGTTTTCTCCTTGGCATGGAGGAGGTTGATTTTTTTTCCAATTGTACTGTTACTTGCGGTATTTTCCTCCCATTTAAATCCCTCTTTCTCATTTATAATCACACTTGCCATCTCTTCTTAAAACAGAACAGCTAATACTACCACTAAAGTGCTTCAATTTTCAGTATGTCAAAACTACTTAGCAAGAGCGGCAGAGGAAAATAAACTTGACTTTATCTTGGGTGAAAGTGATCACAAATATTTCCTAAACTTCAAATCGTTTTGGCCACATCTTGCTTGCTTATGAGAACCTCTAATAGTCTCAGTTTGGCTTTTATGTGCTTGTATTCATAGTACTCATCTGCCATTGGTATCCTATCTTCCTTTTGTGGACTTCTGCAAAACAGAAAATACTGTCTATTAGTTCACAATCAAGTCATTAAAAATCCTTTTACAATTCTTACATGAGAAAGTACAGGGTAGCAGTTTCCACCTGGTTTTTGCATCATGTCTTTTTTACCTTCCCTTCACCTTGATTCACTCCCTCTTCCATGTGTTATTAGGTTTCCATAAAATAGTACCCTTTGAGAACTTGAATGTCATAGGGGTTTTGCAAATATATGGTCCAGTACGTAGACATATAACAATGGGGAAAGTGAAAAAGTCTGAGGAAAAAACAAAACCCAGAACCTCAAGGCATTCCTTGTCTAGTCATTCTCCCATCACCCATGCCACAGTTCCATGCCTGTGCAGAATGTTCAGCGCTTATAGTGATAGTTGTTAAAAATAACCTAAAAATACTACAGGAATTATATTAATAAAAATAAACTCCTTGAGTGAAGTAATTTATAAAAGTTTAAATTGCAGTGGTTCTCTTTACACACTGATTTTACTTAGACTAGTTGATAATGCATAGATTTTTATACATATGCATTCTAACTACTACATGTTCTTGTCATTTACTCTGAGGAATAATTAAGTAACATCTTGAGTTAAAACCATTTGCCATCCCACAAAAATATGTTGCCAGGTTATGTTTTCTAAAGGGCAATAACTGCTTCAGGATCTCAAAAGGTTCTTGTCTCCTTTGTTGATAAAATGGCGAGTGCTTTTAAAACCTTTCCACCCATGACTTTGAAATAACAAGAGGTGGAAAGCACAGATGAAGTCACCACGATTGCTACTGAATATAAAACACAAATACTCGCCAATATTAGTATGGCTGAAAATGGGTAAATAGCTAACATTTAATGTTTTACCCTTCTATTTTCCCAGTACTAATAAAGATATAATGATATCTCTTACAAATAAAAAAATAAGTTAATCTATAAATATTCCCAAGACTATAGTTATCTACTTGTGTTGCACCAGTATACACAGCCCTGCAATTTCTGGTATAGAACTGAGAATAGTACACAAATCTATAGACAGGGTTCCTCCTAAATGGTGTCTAAATTATATAACATAATTCCTGTGCCTCCATTCAGTGTTGTGGCCCAAACCTATAACTGGGTGTCTAAATACCACCTTAATTTGCGTAGACAGATCTAAGTGAAGAAATGGTCTAATTTAGGAACATTAATAATCCATCATGTAACTTTTCCCTGGTCCTGCATACTCCATTTTTTGCTAAAACAAGAGTGCATTGGTCAGAATGAAAATTTTTGCTGGGTATTTCCTAAAGCAGTCTTCCCGTTATATAAAACATGTTAAAGTGCTTAGCACAATTCTCTGGCTCATAATTGTTTATAATGTCATATCTACGTGATTATGCCACTTGCATGGTAAATATTACCAAGAACATTTAAAGTATCTTAAAATTTTTAGTAATCCATTTGCATGGTTATTTGACCTTATGGATAGTTAGGCCATCCTAATAAAATGTCTTAGGAAAACAAGATTAAGATCCATATTTCCTAGCCATTCAACTATTTGGTTTTAGTTTTAATGTATCACCTCTTTTGCATTTAGTGTAAGTATATTACCACAAGAGGGCATACAACCTCAATCCAACGTAGGTATATCTGAAGTAGGTTTAGGACTCACAAGTGCAGTAGAACACTATATGTAGAACATAACTAACTTCCCTGTATGTCAAAGGCATGCCAAGTGCCACTGTAGATCCATTAGGCAGGACTACTAGCACATTGGGAAGTTCTCAAACTCTTTAAAGTGGACTCCTGGATTCAAACAGGTAAAAATGTAAAAGTCATATGGAAATTTTGTAAAGGAGAAAAAGCAAAAAGAAAACAAATTATATTTTACATTCTAAATTTAGCAGCCACATAACACTTTACTAGATTAGTTAACATCAGCAGAAAGGTAAATAACTTGGACTTATAGCAATCAAGTGGAAAGGAAGATTCCAGGTAGAAAAGTAGGTGAGATTACATCTGTATTTGCTGAATGCAAAAAGTTTCTGACTTAATAGCTCCAGTCCTGGTGAACTGCCCTGGAGGACTGAAATGGAAAAGCTGCTAAGAGGTGAGTAGACCAAGCTTTCAAGATGCTTTCAGAACAGTCCCTCTGCATCAGGGTAACCCTCAGTCTGCTGAAATGAAAGCAATTCAGGGAAGGCAGATACATAGATGGAGAGGAATACGAGGAGCCAGTGTATCACAACTCCCACCTCAGCCACCTTAATAACTTTGAGACTTTGGAAAAATTATACCCTTTATTATTTTTTTTTAAGACTGACATTCTACATGACGGCCATAGCTTCCCAAAATATCCCAGGGAATCCAATAATTTCATCTTACAACCGTGGAGACAGGCTCAGGATAGCTCAGTGATTTATCTGTCTATTCCAGAAATAGATCAATAACCCTTATGTCATGATTTTATATATATATATAATTTTGATGATGATACACCAAAATTTAGAGAAAACTAATGGAGTGCATAATGAGACTTGAGTTGACATAGAAAAATTGAGGACAAATAGAGGATATAGCTAAATGTTTATTTAAAGATAGAAAGAATAGCTATGAACTTTTGACCAAATCCTGAAATAAAATAATTAAGGGCAGATCCTGAAGTTTAAATGATATACTTAAAGCAAAACAAGAATTATTTAATAAAGTAGGCAATAACTTGTGGGATGAAGTAACCAAGAACAAAGTTATACTGGCTGAAAAATCAAAAATTTCTTAAAGATTTAGATAAACTTGATAGTTATAATGAGGTTTATTATGCCAAGTTAGGGATTTTTGGAGTTCAGCCATTATTTTTTAAAGCTTGATGTCATACTTGATAGTTACAGCCTCCCATAAAACATACCTAATAATGGCACTATCAGAATGTCGTATTAGACAAATCCCAGGTCTAAGTCACTGTGGAAATTATATCTTGTAGTCATTGTTCCTGCAAACAAATTGCAGCTCATTCATACTGTGCTAAGAAATATTAGCTTAAAAGATATCTCTGCCCATACTTACCTTCCTGTTTGTTTAAAAAACTGTTCTTCAAATTCTCTTAAGGCTTTCCGAAGTCTCTTCTTATCAGCCCTAGTTTCTCGAAGATGGTCAAGAAGTACAGGCCTATACCAAGTAAAATATATATTTGCCATTACTGAGCTCTGGCATAATTGAGAGATCATCATGAGCAGATTTATCTGTTCAGCAAAGGCATATTATGATACAGAAGTGTTCTGCCTAAGACTATCTTTTGAATAAGTATAGCACATGAGGAGACTGACCATAGGGAAGCATAGAAGCAGAGGAAGTTACTTCATAAAAATATCATAGGAAGGGAGAAAGGACAGACAGGAGAAAGCAGACTGAGTCCATTACA